AGGGACCTCTGCTCCTGAACTGCAGTCAATCACTGCCTTCCTTTTGCTACAAAACTTCTACCTTTACATTTCCAACCCTCACAGTCAGTCCTGATAACAATTATTCACTATTGTACCACAAAAGACCTGTCCCCATCTCCTTTCATCAGCCCTGCCCAGACAGATTGGATACTACTCAGTGGAGATTCTACCTTCCCCGTGCCTTCTGGAACTAGGCTCCCTTTTGAAAGCTTATAAGCCAGTCACTTCTTGCCTTTGTAGGCCCCCCCCCCCATTTTGGGTAGCCAATGTCCAAGTTGCCCATCCCTGTCTACCCTGTGTATGGAGGGGGTGGAAATGATCCTCGCTGTAAAGCTCTGTTCCCTCTTTTGAGCTATTGCATCCATAGGTGTAGGTCAGGTTCATCAAATTACTTCCGATTACTCTTTCATTCCTCTTCTTTCTTCTTTTAGTTGAGTTCTGATCATCCAGCCATTGAAACCATGTCAAATGGATATTATTTGTTTCTAGGAACTTTGTGAATTCACATTTAATTTCTTCTACTACCCAGTCACTTTTCAGCAGGGTGTTATTCAGTTTCCATATATTAGACTTTATTTCCTTGGTCTTCCTATTCTTGATTTCTAATTTTATACCATTATGGTCTGAGAAGATGCTTTGTAGTATTTTGATATTTGTAAATTTATAGAGATTTGTTTTGTGGCCTAAGACATGATCTATTCTGGAGAATGTTCCATGTGCACTGGAAAAGAATATGTATTGTGCTGTTGTTGGGTTGAATGCTCTGTACACATCTATGAGGTCCAGTTGGCTGATTGTAATATTTACTTCTTCTATGTCTTTGTCAAGTTTCTTTATGGTTGTTCTATCCATTTTTGAAAGCAGTGTATTAAAATCACCTACTATTGTAGATTGATCTATTTCTTTCTTTAAATCTATTAGAGTTTGATTTATATATATTTGGAGCTCTTTTATTGGGAGTATAGATGCTTATTATGGTTATTTCATCCTGTTCAATTGTCCCTTTAATCATGAGCTAATATTCATCTTTATCTATTCTGGGTTTTTTTGCCTTAAAGTACTGCCACTCCTGTTCGTTTTCTATTGCAATTAGCTTGGTATATTTTCTTCCATCCTTTGACTTTTAATCTGTTTTTGTCTCTGTGTGTAAGATGTGTCTCTTGAAGACAGCATACTGAAGGATCTTGTTTTTGTATCCATTCTGCCACCCTCCATCTCTTAACTGGTGCATTTAATCTGGTTACATTCTGTGTAATTATTGATAGGTGTCGATTAATTGCTCCCATTATGTTTGGTTTTTGTGATTCTGCTTTCTTTATTCTGCGTGTCTTCCTGTGCTAAGTTCATGCTTTTTGTGTTCTTTCTTGTGAGTGTCCTCATAGTTTTAATGGTTCCATGTTCTTGGATTTTCTTTTTCTTGGTATGTTGTTATATGTTAATTTTCTTTGAGGTTACCTTATATTTCATTAACTTTTCCCTCTATTTAGTGTAGTCTGTTTTATCCTGTAATCTACCTGACCTTTTCACCATCTAGATCTCCATTCCTATGTGTTTACCTTCTTTCGCATCGTAATTGTTTTGATCATAGACTCACTTCCCAGATCCTCTGAGTTTGTTGTTATAGTATTGTTCTGTTCTCAACTCTTCATTTGCCTTCTGAGTTCTGGGAGGTGCTGCCACGTATGTCAATCTCTGGTTGTTGTCTGTTCTTGTTGGTTCTCAGTCCACAGAACTCCCTTTATGATGTTTTGTAGAGCAGAATTGGCTTTGGCAAAATCCCTTAGCTTCTGTTTATCCTGGAATGTTTTTATTATACTGTTGTATTTGATTGAAAGCTTTGCTGGACAAAGGATTCTTGGTTGACAATTTTTTTTTTCTTTCAGGGTTTTATATGTCTCCCCATTGCTTTCTTGCCTGCATGATTTCTGCTGAGGGATCCAAGCTTAATCTGACTTGCTTGCCTTTATATGTACCACTTCTCTTTTCCCTAGCTACTTTCAGGAGTGTCTCCTTTGATTTTGGAGAGCTTGATTACTATATGTCTTGGTGATTTTCTTTTGGGGTCTATCCTTCCTGGGGTTGTTTAGCTTTTTGAATACTTATCTTTTTGCTTTTCAGGATATTAGAGACATTTTCTTCCAGCAGCTCTTCAGCTATCTCCTCTTTGGACTTGTGTGATTCTTCCTGTTCTAGAATGCTGATAATTCTTAAGTTATTCCTCTTCATGTTGTCCAACATGATTCTGAACTTTCTTCGGATTTTTTTTCTTTTTTTCTGCTTGTTCTTCTATCTTAGTAATATTGAGAGGTTTGTCTCCAGCTCACTAGTTCTGGCTTCCATCTCTTCGACTCTACTCCGTTGACTTTTCAGTGTATTGTTTATTTCTGATATTCTGTTATTAATCATTTGGACCTCTTTCTGTAGTTTTAGAATTGTTTCTAATTTTGTATCTGGCTCATTTCATTGTTCCTGTATCACTTTCCTGACTTCTTCCTTATTTTTCTCAACTCCATTTTAAAGTGTTTTAAAACATTTTATAATCATTTTTTGGAATTCCTTCTCAGGCATTTTCAAGGGCTGCCCTCCTTCCAGAATGGAGTCTAGGTCTACCTCTAGGTCATTTGTCTCAGACATTTCTCTTGTTTCTGGAGGACATGTGCTGATATGGCCATCTGTTTTTGCTTCTTGGACATGTTCAGTGATTAGCTGTGGCCTTAATACTTAATTAAATGTGTGTTTTGGTATTTTTTTATGCTTTCTGATTGCCTCCAGTAGATGTGATCAGGAGATGGGATTCCCTTTTCACTCAGAATTGCTTAACTCAGAGTAACTTTTGCAGGTGTTGTCTGCCTCCCTGTTGTATGGCAGTTGGTATTGGTTCTTGCCTGAATTGTGGTGTTTTATAGGGTGTGATTGTAGCTTGACTATATGGCAGCAATTGCTGTCTCTTCCTGGGTAATATAGGGAGAGAAAGAGCCCTCTTAAGGTAAAAAAGAGTATAAAAAAACAAAACAGCAAGAGCAAAAAAATAACAAAAACCCACATTGAATACTGTAGTGTATAATCGCAGAAAAGAGAGAGGAAAGAGAAGGAAAAAATAAAAATCTGTAGCCTAATATGAGTATGACTTTAATATCTTCTTTCAGCTTCTTGCCTTCAAGGCTGCTTGGTAAATTTCAAGATGCCACTGTTGGTTGTTGTGCTGTACCTCAGTATTTAATTTTCAGCCTGTTTTGTTTTTAGACTCTCTCCTACTCCACACCCCCAGTTCTGGCCTTTTCCCTATTAATAAACAGTTCAGGACTAGCTGTGGCCATTTTGCGCTGCTTGTTGGTTTTAAGTGGGGACTGGCCCTGTGAGCACTAAGAGGATCTGTGTGCATACGTGGTTGAAGAACTCTCCGGTGGTGGGGGTGGGGTGCCCACTCGCTCAGGCACCCCCTCTGGTCACCAGAATGGAAGTGCACTGACAGCAAGAGGCCAATGAACAGATACCAAAAAAAATCAGAACAAAACAAAACCGAACAAAGAATACTGTCCACCATTGTCTCCGAGGTTCCTGCTAGAGTGACTCCATGGTGGGTCTGCTTGCTTCCCTGTTTGGTCTTGACATTTGGTCTCGCCTAAGTTGTTGGCTCTGGGCTGCTGAGCCCAGCTGATTCAAAGTACCAGATTTCTTGCTTCCGCTACAAGTTCCACTAGCTATAAGCCTTCAAACTTTTAAAATATTCTTACATCTATGGTTCAGAGTTTTGGAGCTCTCCCCAGAATCCGGTTCGTTTGGTATTCTGTGGTATTGCTGACAGAGATCTTCACTGCACCTCTACCCTATCTGCCATCCAACAACATAATTCTTTAAGGACACAGAGAAAGTATGCATGTCATTTTAATCCAATGTTATATCATTAATCACTCAGATACCACATTTTGAAATAGTTAAGTTTCTCACTTTAGAAATGGGACTCAGTTTGTCATGCTTTTTTAAAATTACATTAGGAAATATTAGAAACAGTACTACTACTAAGAAACATTTTAAAAGTATCAGTCAGACAGACAATTAAAAATCATCCATATTCATATTACTGAGAGATAATCGTTTGGACTCTTGTATTTTACTGAAAATATTATAATTTTGTAAGCTGCAAAGTTCTATATAGTTAATAAGAAATGGATTCTGATAGTTCACTAAATCAAACCGTTGTATTTGAAAGAAGTAACAAATTTCTAAGCCTTTGAGGATTTATTTCTCTGACAATATTCAGGTCTCCAGATTCAAAAATTATGCTAATATCACAGATAATAATGTTCTGTATAATTGAAACTTATAAAGTGAATCTTAGAAGAATTGTTGTTGCTTTGTTAAGTGCTGTCGAGTCAGTTCCAACCCATAGCGACCTTGTATAGGGTTTCTGAGGAGCTACTGGAAAGCTTGAACCACAAACCTTGTGGTTTCAAAATGACTTTGCAATCCAGTGTTTTACCCACAGTGCCACACTAGAAGAATAGTGGCTTTAAAGTTTGTTTATATTTGTTATTTTATTTGGTTTTTAAAAATCACTGCTCAGTCTATTATTAGATATATTACTACTATTCACTTGGTGATGCTAACTTAAAACTCAAAAAATTTTAGCCTTTTCTTCATAGCCATTTAAGTAACCAATGGAAATACTATAATTATCAGGAACCAATCTCAGTATTTGGAGCTCTGGTAGCATAGTGGTTACGAATCAGGCTGTGAACCTTAAGGTCAGTGGTTCGAAACTACCAGCCGCCCCGTGGGAGAAAGATGAGGCTTTCTACTCCCGTAAAGATTTACACCCTCGGAAACCCTGTACAGGGTCTCTATGGGTCGGAACCAACTCGACGGCACTTAACAACAACAACATCTCAATATTTGTAGAAATGTTTGCATGTGAATCAATTTGGAAGGATAATGGTGTTACGTATGAGCTTGAGTTTTGTTTTCTTTTATTTTTATAGACTTGTCAAATCCAGGAACCTTCCGAGATCTCAGTAAGCCAGTCGGGGCCCTAAATAAGGAGCGGCTGGAGAGGCTTCTGGTACGTGGTGCACGTCTGACTCACTGGATTCTAAGCAGCTTCATGACAGAGGGGAGACTCTTAGGAGTGACTCTTGAATTTGTGGCTGGTGTTGGCCTATTTGGCAGTCTGAAGGAGAGTCCTTTTCGCTTATGAGCCCTGACATGGCTCCACATGACTGGAGTCAGAGAGTGCAACACTGGTATCAGAGTTGACTGAGAAGTGGGAAAATGGGCATTTGACTAAACTTCAAATTTGGGCGATTGGATTTGTGTTTATTCTTATAGACTCCACAGCTTCACCTGAATATAGCTGCTCACCATTTTGTTTTTTGGTTTGCAACTCAGGAAGTTGAGGCTGACCTGATTTACAAGTTCAGTGACTTATTTTCATTACAGTGCTTTCTGATAAATTGCATGGAAGATGCATAAAATCATTGTTACAGGAATACTGTTTATTCAGATTGTTTTTCTCTTCTCATTTTCCTATTTAAGAGAGAAATTAAGGATATAAACCCATGCCATGATTTCTTTTAAACTTTTACTGCTTCAGCTCTCATAGGGAACTGCTTTGTTTTGTTTTTTGTACATTTAGGCACGCTACCAGGAAATGGCAGATCCAAAATTCATGTATGGAAGTCACTACTCTTCTCCAGGTTATGTGCTGTTTTATCTTGTTCGGATTGGTAAGATTCTTCATCATTGCTCCCAATTAAATTTTATTTCACTTGGATTCTTCAGTGATTCCTTGATCTGATTTAGCTGATGATTTTTTTTTTTCTAGCACCAGAGTATATGCTGTGTTTACAGAATGGAAGATTTGATAATGCAGACAGAATGTTCAACAGGTTTGTTATAAATGTCTCACTTATCATATACAGACTTTTTCAGCTATACAAGGGTAAATAAAAAAGTATTGCTAGAAACTTACAGAAAACTTCATTAAACAGAATTATTAAAATATGAAGCTATTGTTTCTCAACCTAGGCCTCCATCTAGGTCCACATAGTTCTGAAGGCCATGTTTGCATCTCTCTAACCCTCACCCAGTGAAGTCTGTGCTCCTTAATTTGTACCATGTCAAAATGGCAAGTATGGAAACCATATAGCAGTTCTGCTGTCATATTGGGTGTCTGTGATTTTCTGTTGACTC